CACGGTTCCGTCCCCGCGGCCGGAGCTCCCGGGGTCTCGGTGTCCTTCGTGCCGCGGCTGTTCGCGCAGGGCTGGCGCAGGTTCACGCGGGGTTTTTTCCCGGTTCAAGGCCGTAGTGCATTTAACATCCGCCGGGGGTTTTCTAACGGCACTTGTTCCCGGGATCAAGCTCTCCCTTATTTGGTTTTTGTTCTTCCCGTACTTTTGTAGAAAAATGGAAATCGGCGCTCCTCCAACATCCAAGTGCATTATCTACTGGAAAAGAAAAGTCAAGTCTGAATATATGCGCCTGCGGCAGCTGAAGAGGTTTCAGGCAAACATGGGAGCCAAGGTAAAGCCGCGAGGCTCTTGGCTCTGGCTGAAGGACTTTGCCTTCGCTTATCACGTTTGAGCAGCTATCAGCTGGGTGCTTCATCCTGCGAATTGCAAAGCTGTATTTCAGTTGCAGGCTGGATGAGTTGGAAGAGATACTGCTTCTCCTCCTGCTCCGTTATTAGCCCAGAGCGGCGCAGGCAGCACCTGGTGTAGACTGAAGCGTTGCTGAGTGCTTGCGTAACTGCAGCGAGAGGAGTCCTTTCTGCCTCTTCTTTAGAGTATCTCCTTGCCTGAACCCTCTCGGTGCCGATGGGTTTCAGATGACTTACTCTGTTCCTCTTCTCGGTAGGCAGGAGTTTAGAAGAGGTCGGCTGGGATCAGGAGTTACCAAAAGCTTCTGGCTTTGGGTGGATTTTCAGCAGTTTTGTACCGATGCTGAGTTTAATTAGAATTCCCTCTGATGAGTATCATCAGTTTGAAATGCTCTGCCTTGCTTACGTTTTGATACTTGAAACAAAGTCTCAGGAGGGGTTTTAGTGCTCTCAACATGGTCTTGCACATTTTGAGCGCTGCTTTCTCCCCATTCAGGCTCTGTTTGTGGCCAACTTTGCGAAGGTTCATGAAAAGACTCAGATTCTGAATGAAGAGTGGAAGAAGCTCCGAGTCCAGCCAGTGCAGCTGATGAAGCCAGTCAGCGGGCACCCGTTCCTGAAACAGGTGGGGAGAGGAAAAGGGGCACAGAGCACCAGGGGTGCATGAGAACCGGGGCTTTGCAGGGAGCTGGGAGGATACGGGATATTGCGTGTGCTGTCCTAGGTCACTGTCGGGCCGTGCCTTGCACTCTTCTGGGATGCAGAAATGGGCAAAAAAAAGGACCCCAAAAGCTTTTCCTGTGAAGGAGTCCCAGAGAGCGAACGTGGGGCTTCACCGTGTGTGTCCTGAAGTGCGGTTTCCCTCTGGCTGGGGCGGTTTCCTCACTGCCCTTCTCTTTGCCCACGTTCCAGTGCACCGTTGAGAGCATTTTCCCGGGATTCCCAAGCCAGACGCTGTACATGAGGACACTGAACACGGTGGCACTGGTGCCCATCATGTACTCCTGGTCCCCGCTGCAGCAGAATTTCATGGTGCGTAGGAAGGCGAGGTCCTGGTGCGGTCAGTGTGTGGTTGTTACGTGGCTGTGGAGTGGCTGTACCGTCTTCAACCCACTTGTTTCAAGTGATGTCTGCTTGAGAGGTGATGGAAAGTTCTGAATTGTGTCTGGTCTCCTCTCAGGTGGAGGATGAAACCGTTCTGTGCAACATCCCTTACATGGGGGACGAGGTGAAGGAAGAAGATGAAACTTTCATTGAAGAACTTATTAATAACTACGATGGGAAGGTGCATGGAGAGGAAGGTAACCTGGAGCAGCCAGCTCTGTCTGCTCGGACTCTGCAAATACCCTATCAAAGTAGTTAAGAAGTCAAAAGATGGCAGCAGTGACTAGATTTTCCATGGGAGCTCTTAGAGTAGAAAATCGGGAACTTGCTCTAGTTTGCAAGGGCAGAGTCCTGCCTTTTGCTGTCCCGCTCTGTTCCGGGGCTGGGGGCTCTGGACCCCATATTCACGGGGGTTCACAGGCATGCTCGGGGATGCTGAAAAATGTGCTAGAGGTTAGGAGGAGCTCAGCAGCCTTGTTTCGCTTGTGACCTGAGCCAAGACTTTAATCAGTCTTTTCAGAAATGAAAAGCCCGTGTGTGTCCCTGCAGTGCTGCCTGCCCCCGATAAAACTCTGCCTGGAGGGAGGGAGGCGGTGGAAACTCTCTGGTACGGCCTGGCCTCAGGTGGCTAAAAGTGACACCCCACTCCTGACCCTAGTGTTAAAATCCCGCCTGTCCCTGCAACACTGAGAGACAGCTTCTGGTTGCTGACAGCGGCGTGGGGCTGGTTTGTGGTTTACCACCACCAGGAGCATGGAGATGGTGACTCTCCCACACGCTGGCTGACGTCTCTGTGTTTCAGAAATGATTTCGGGGTCAGTCCTCATCAGCGACGCCGTGTTCCTGGAGCTGGTGAATGCCCTGAATCAGTACTCGGACGAGGAAGAGGAAGGACACAACGATTCTGAGGCTAAACAGGAGGATGGGAAAGAGGAGCTGCCGGTCACAAGGAAGAGAAAGCGAATCTCAGTGGAAGGTGGGTTTGGCCACAGAAATTGGGGTGATGTTGGTCATGTTCCCATCCTGCCCTGCCTGAGCAGCTGGCGGCTGCTCTCCTGCCGTCCCTTGTGGTCATTGCCGTGTCACCAAGGGCAGTGACAGCCTGGCAGGCTCTGGAGCGGTGGCTGGGAGCCGGAGGGAGGTGAGTGGTTCTTGCCGTCCGCTGTGGAGAGGACGAGAAGTCACCAGCTCAGCCTGTGGCGAGGAGGAGTTTAGATGAGTCATGTGGAAAACCATTTCACAGCGGGGTGTTATCTGAGGAGCTGCGGGATCTCTGCTCCGGGAGGTTTTGCAGTGCCTCTGGCCGGGACCTGGCCGTGCGTTTGTAGGCGGATTGATTCTGCTGGGCCAGGGGGTCGGACCTTTCCAAATCCCTTCCAGACCCGTTTGCCGGGTATGAGTGTTCCCTCGCCTGTGCCACCCGCGGTTCTTGCTGCACAGAGGAAGCTCTGGTCTGTGGGATTTTCGTGTGTCCTGCATGACCTCAGGAGTGCTGACTGGTCGCTTCGTCTCTGTCTTTGGTTTGTAGTGGTGCGGGTAGCGCAAATGCCAGGACCTTCGTAGATACAGAAAAGCATTGTCTGCAAATCCTGTCTTGGTTAAAATAAAAAGTAATAGTCCTTAAGAAATCATCAGTGTTTCCATCGATGCATCATGCTCCTCTGAAATTGTCAGCGTACTGTGTCTGGAAATGCCTTTGCCTAGCTGCAGAGGAAAGGTTTATCCGTTGTGTCCGGGATTACGTTTCTGTCTCTTCGAATACCATCCTGAACACCTCCTGGAACCGCTATCTGTGGGAGATGGAAAGACACGTTCTCGTCCAGCTTAGCTGAGGAATTGTTTCTCTTCTTTTTCCTAGGTAACAAGAAGTGCTCAAAGAAGCGGTTTCCAAATGACATGATATTCACGGCTATTTCTTCTATGTTTCCTGAATACGGCTTCCCAGATGATATGAAAGAGAGGTAGAAGATCTCTACTTGTCTGTTACCTTTTTTAGCAGCAATTGAAATCCGTGTTTCAGGGAACAGCCCTGTGCTCTGAGCAGGAGGTAGAGCTCAGCTGGCTGCAGTCACCGGCAGCAGAGCGTGATTTGAGTGTTAGAAACTTGAGTTGAGCCTCAGGGTATCTGGGCCGGAGTCCTGCTGGCCCGGGTGGGGATGGAGTCGTGTAAAATGTCCCGAGTTTGGAAAGTGTGCGCATCTGTGGGTGTTTCTGTTTGTGGAACAGGTACCGGGAGCTGACGGAGGTGTCGGACCCCAACGTGCTGCCGCCGCAGTGCACCCCCAACATCGACGGGCCGTGCGCGAAGTCGGTCCAGCGGGAGCAGTCCCTGCACTCCTTCCACCCCCTCTTCTGCCGCCGCTGCTTCAAATACGACTGCTTTCTGCATCGTAAGTGCAGCCTCAGCCGGACGCTTCCCTAGAGCCTTTTTCTCCTCATTTTTCTCAGTGCTTCTTCCCTCTGTGCGCCTTGCTTAGTGTCTGTGCCGCAGTTGTTAGCGGGTGGTGCCTCCCCGGCGTTCGCAGCGGAGCCGAGGGAGCTGACGGGTGCCCTGAAGCCTTTTATAGAGACGCTCCACTCGGTTCCTGGCTGGGACGGTGCACCGACCTGCGTGGCCGTCCCCTCACCGCTGTCCAGCACGCCACGCTCCAGCCTCCTGGTAGCTTGTGCCAGAAACGCTGCCGCGACCAGACTTTGCTCTTGCTTTGCAGAAGCTCATCAGGGAAAGGCAGGAATGTTTCCTCCCACAGTCTGGACATGCCCCCGTGTTTTGTTGCCTCTCTGGGACTTACAGCTTCATCTTAGTCGTATTCCTGCGGTTTGTCCTGCCAAGGCCTTTTGGATGCTGCTTGGCCGTTGGACCTGTTGCTTCGCAGGTCCAAGGGCTTCTTTGGAAAGTCACAGGACTCTTTCCAGTGAATTATTTATTAAAAGATATAATATTAAGATCATGTGGTCTTTTTG